GGATCAGAGCACACCATTGATGGAAAACCTTTTCCCTGTGAGGTAAGGGGATTATTTCATGCAGATCATGTTGTCATATGACTTTGTCTGCAGTGGGGCAGGATTAGGATTCTGATTCTGTGTTCACCATGGGTAGGTCAGCCTTCCTGCCTTCCTCAGCTGGATGGGGAGAGGAAATAGAAGGAAAAGTTTGTGAGTAGGGATCAGGGCAGGGAGAGCTCCCTCAGCAGTTACTGACACAGCAAAGGAAAAAAATCCATTAACAACCAAATCAGAGTAGGATAATGGCAAATAAAAACTAAACCTTAAAACCCTTCTCCTCACCCCTCCTTTCCTCCTGAGTTTAACTTTACTCCCAGCTTTCTCCACCTCTTCCCCAGTGGTGCAGGGGATGGGGAATGGGGGCTGTGCTCAGCTCATCCCAGGTTGTCTCTGCTGCTCCTTTCTCCTCAGGGGAAGGGCTCCTCACACTCTTCCTGTGCTCCAGTGTGGGGTCCTTCCCCCAGGAGACAGTGAGCTCCATGAGCTGCTCCAGCCTGGTCCTTCCCATGGGCTGCAGTCAGTCCTTCACGAGCTGCTCCATCCTAAAAACTTCCCATGGGCTGCAGTCAGTCCTTCAGGAGCTGCTCCATCCTAAAAACTTCCCATGGGCTGCAGTCAGTCTTTCAGGAGCTGCTCCAGCCTGGTCCTTTCCTTGTGATCACGAGCTGGGGAAGCTTCTGGCAGTTTCTCACAGAAGCCACCCCTGTACCCTCCCACTCCCAAATCCTGGCCATGCCACCCCCGTGTGGGCTGTTACAGGAAACTTGCCTGGTTCCTGCCCACACTCATGGACCTGTCCAAAAGACTGAACTTCTTTGTGTTTCCAGCAATGACACAAAATTGTTCTGTTATGAACAATTGTTAGCGCTGTCAATGAGAAACCACGTTCATAACTTCTATCATTAATTTAATTCTTATTTGTTATTTTTCTTTAAAGCTCCACTTAGTACATTGGAATGCCAGAAAATATGCAACATTTGGAGAGGCAGCAGCAGCTCCAGATGGCTTGGCAGTAGTTGGTGTTTTCTTGGAGGTAAGAATTGCAAAAATAGCATGTTTACATGATAAAAAGCATTATGCTGTAAAGTGTTTGAGGACTATGCCACATATTTAAGAAGTGCTTAAGGAAAACAGATGACTTGCTGGAAGCATTAATGCATTGCAAATTGCTGATAAACTTTGGTAGGAATGTTAAGATTTGGGTAAGAAAACAACACCTAATTAAAGCACAGTTGCAGTCCTTCTTATTTAACCTATTCCATTCTTCTAGATTGGAAAAGAACATGCCAGTATGAACAGACTCACTGATGCTTTGTACATGGTAAAATTTAAAGTAAGTTCTATTTTCTTTAAATTTTCTTCTGGGATAGCCTTTAAAAATCATGCTCATGTACATTTTTGAGACAAAAATGAAAAATCACCCACCCACAGATCCTCCCATAACTAGAACATAACTGTAGTTGTAGTTTCTTTTTCCCCCTCCAAAGTTCATATTATTTCCTGATCTCAGGTGCCTCACTAGGCTGTGCTGACCCCACTGGTCATCCAGAGGTTCTGCCTTTCCCAAAAAGTCTGAAATCAACAGCTCCCTGACCCCTGAGACTCAGACTCAGCAAAATAATCCTTCTCCATTGAGCCTCAGCTGGCACAAGCTGCCTGTTTGTCCTTGCTGCAGAGCTCTGTCAGGGATGATCTCACTGAGGTCCCGAGTTTGTTCCTGAGGTGTTTTCTGAGTGACTGAGACCCTTTTGGATGCTCCTGCAGGCTGAAGAGTGTTGGTTTACACTGTGGTACTTGAGGCAATCACGACTTTAGGCAGTGCCTCCTTTTATTTCTACCAATATTTTGGTTGATTTATCTTCCTTTATCAATCCACCTTCCTCTAATTTTAGACTTGAAGGTTTATTTTTTTTAAAGCAAATATTTACCATAGCAGACAATGACTATAGGATTTAAATTTTCCTACTAAAATAGATGAGACAGTACTGAGGCAAGGAATTCTGCCATGATATTATCTACAGCTCACACCGAACACTATATACAGAACATACTTCCTGTGTTATTGTTGGGCCTGTTGTGAAAAGAGATGAATTTTGATAGATACAATGGTGCAAGACCTCTAAGTCCAGTAAGCCAGCATGAGGCATCACACTTGCCATTTTGGCTAACAGTTATAAGGCAGCCAAACCTTTACAGACTTCTCCTTTCCCCCATTTTTAATGTTGCTTTAACATTTTCTTCTCTTTCAAATAAGTTATTTTTTAATACTTAAAAGTAAAAGGATATATTTCAAGTCTATTTTCTTTCCCCAGGGAACAAAAGCTCAATTTAGAGGCTTCAACCCTAAATGTCTCCTGCCCTTGAGTCTAGATTATTGGACATATCTTGGTTCTCTGACAACCCCACCCCTTAATGAGAGTGTGACATGGATAGTGCTGAAAGAACCCATCAGAATTTCTGTGAAACAGGTAAATTTCTGATACTCTCTCAGTTCTTGCAGCATTCAATGCTGGATAAGCAAGCAAAGACTGTTTTGATTTGAAATGAGGCTAAGTTAAAAGTCTGTGAATATTCAGCCTTTTCAATCCTCAGGGCTTCTGTTATTTTCTGTTAATACTCTTCTAGGACCTTTGCTTAAACCTATTCCATTACCTAATTAAAATATACCGAATATTTCCTTTTAGTCCTTAAAAAAAGAAATTAAAAATTACTGTTGATTGCCCCCTTAAGCAGTGAATTGTTTCCCCTGAACTTCCAGCTGGAGAAATTCCGCATGCTGCTCTTCACTGGTGAGGAGGACCAGAGGATCCAAATGGCCAACAACTTTCGCCCCCCTCAGCCTCTGAAGGGGAGAATTGTTCGAGCTTCCTTCAAGGCCTGAAGAAAACTGATAATGGTCCTGAGATATCCAAGAGCTTCCACATGTGAGATACTCTAAACTGAAACTCTGGTCTACAGACCACTCATGGAACACACAAGAAAGGCATTTCCATGAACCATCTCCTTGGAGGAGGACAATCTTCCAGCTTTCTGTTTTATTTGAAGTGCTCGTTCTTTAGAGAAATGGCATCTCTTTAACCAGCACTATTTAATATAAGGGATAGCTGAGTGAACCAGGTTGTTAACCAAGACCTGAAAGTCCATAAAATTAAAATTATATTAAAACTCAATCTGACATAAAATGGAAAATTGTGATCTACTACAGCCGATGGCCACAACCTCTACTTATCTCATTTAATACATGAGGAAACAGTAACCAAGAATTTTGGACAAATATGACTTAAATTTTCCTTACTGATCTGTTGTTACCATTTGCTGAGCTCTGATTTAAAGATTGCTTTCACTTTATTCTTGCTGCCTGATGACACAGAGTGTATGACTAGAAAAAAATTCTTTACTCACCTCAAGTAGGCCCTGGTATGAAAATTAAATATATAGAAATATATATTTTTAAATCTACTGTCCTAGATGTTATCTTACAATGAGAAGTAACAATGTAATGCTGTGTTGAAAAGCAGAGCAGTTTACTGCAATGTTATTTAGGTATTTGTCCTTTCAGCCCACGCAGGACACACGACCACGGCACCCTGGTCAGGGTCAGTTTGGTTGAAGAGTTCTGCTGCAGTGATCCAGGTGTGTTTTGTGGTCCTCAGATCCTCAGATTCTACCTCAGCTCAGTGCTATGCTCTGCAATATGACCTCCTTCAGTGTCTGCCCTACAGAGAGCAGGTATTTTGTTTCCTTTAGGGAGCTAACGTGGGTAGATCTGCACTGCTGCAGACCCTCCCTGCCCCAGGGCTGCCTGGCAGGATGCTCCCTGCACACACACGAGTCTTCAGCACTCCTGAGTCCTTTTACCTCTGCAAAAGCTGCTTTAGAACAGCCTCGTGTTGGTTCTGCAGCTCAGTGACAAAATTCTGACTCTGGTACTCAATACTGTGATGTTCTCTGTGACTGCCCATAGTCAATTCCCAGCTCCTTCAGTTCTGGGCCTCACACGGCATGTTCTGTCTGCCTAGTTCAGGTAGAAATTGCTGATGTTGATCACTTTCCATCAGCTGAGATGGAAATCAAAGATGTACAAGGCCAAGGGAAGTGGGGAGAAGGGAGAACAGCAGCTGCCGTGGCTGCTCCCCTTTCTCCAGGGAAGGAAGACATGAGATGTGGAGCACAGTACAAGGAGTGAACAACTGGAATTCTGCTCCTCAAATCTGGTACTTTGTTTCTCAGTTTCCTCTTTTGTAGGAAGAGGGTAACACTGACCTCTACCTCACAGGGCTGTTGTGAGGGCTAATTCAGCATTGTTTTAGATGTGAGACTCTTATCCAGCAGATGCTAAAGGCAATGAAAAATCCTTACAAAATGCAATGGTTTTAGCTATTATGAATGTATTATAAACTTTGCTAGTAATGCAAACTGGTATTGTAGAAACTCTAATGTATCTTAATTTCTTTAACAAATAAAATAAATGAGACTTTAAAATCACATGTGCATATCTTCATCCTTTATTTTGAGAAGACTCACCTCTCCCTACTTACAGCATTATGTTTGATGTTTTCAATGGCTGCATCTCTTTTGGATCAAGGAAAGCTTTGATTGTTTATCTTCAGTTCTACAGAAACCTTGCCTAAACTACTGTGGAATGATCTAAGTACAGATAAGAGTTATGCTTCTCAAGTTTGTGGGCATGTTTTAAAATTCTAGAAATTATTTCTCTTTTTAGTCTATACCACAGTTCTTACCATCTTCTGAGATTAACAGATTTTGTTTCAACTTAATCCTTTCACTTAAGTTCTAACATACTGTATACCTTGAATGACTTCTTGCCCAGAGTTAAATTACTATAATGACTCTTAAGTCCCTGTTAAAATTTATATGAAGAGATGCATTTTAAAATATAAAAAGTCTTTCAAAAAACTTTACATTTTGATAGAAAATAAATTTGCCCCTAATATATATAAAATACTTTTCTGATTAAAATAATTAAAATATAATTTTATTTACCATATGTACCATAATCAAACTATCCCAGTACTGCTGCAGACAGGTCAAGATCAGCATTTTCAGTATTTTCCTCTCATTTTAGGCATAGGTGTAGGTGCTCCCTGTTTCTCACAGGAGGTAATGAGGGCTTGTGCATTGGAACCTTGTCCAGTTTTCCCCAGCTCCAGCCCCTCAATCTAAAAAACAGTTTATTTATGCCCAGACTGTATCTGTGCTGTGACCTCGTACACAGTACTTAAGCTTCTTTGGGGGTGGTTTATTCATGAACAGCAGAAGGATAATGTTTAGCTTACCTGGCTTTTGTAAAGGCTCAGCCATTGCAAAGAGCTTTAAATGCTGCATTGCCCCAAGGTGTTCAGTTCCAGGGAGAAACTGAACTGTGCCTTCCTGCAGAAATAAATTTGATTTTGCTTACAGGGTTGTTTGGAATTTCTTTTTCCAGTTGTTGGATGGAAGAACATGATCTATTTTTTACCATGGAGAGGTAAAATACAAAAGGAAGACTTTTATATTCTTTATTTCTTGAGACCCTGATCCCCCAATAAAAACCCAAAAATATTGTATTGGTTTAATGCACTTCATTTATTTTGAGATTGAACGACTCTAAAACATGAGCTACCCTTATCTTTTAACAAATTGTTGTGTTGAAGGAGAAATGGGAGTTGACTGTAATTATTCCAGCAAGAATTCACTTACCTTCTCCTGGGATTGCAGCAGTCCTGAGGGAGAGAACAGAGGCCTCACATTCAGGACAGCGACTGAACTTGTGCAGCAGGAAGAGCTGGATTAAAAATGCCATCTAGTGGCTCTCCTTCCCTTTCTTGCCACAATGCTTAAAACAATTGTTAAGGGAAATTCAGTCAAAATACAACAGAGGAGAGAATTTGACTCTGACAACACTAATTCATAAAGATATGAGTGATTGTCATTGTAAACCTCTTGCTGGCTCTGTTTATGCAGTCATTGAACCTCCCTCAGGTAAAAATCCATCTGATAAAAGAAATTCAATAAACCAGTTACAATTTTTTGTTCCTCATTTCACTGCTGAGCAGAGAGATCCTCTGCTTGGTGAACTGCACACTCTTAACTTTAGCTTTTAAACATTAATAGCTCTTGTTACAGTTCAACTTTGGGGTTTTTACCCAATCTCTTGCAAGCAGAAAACATTTTTAGGCAGTTTCCATCATACAGTTGCTATGATGTAGCAGATTTATAACAACATGTTTCATGATAAGGATAAATTAATCCAAATACAAGAATTGGGGAAAAGTTTTGCAAGGTACCTCAACACCAGATAGTGTTTTTGGCAGAGTTCAAAGTTCAGAAAGATAAAAAAGGGAGCATTTCAGGAAAAAACAGAGATAAGCCTGAAGAAAATGAGGTGTTATCTTAAACCTCAGTGTAGCTGCTTTCCTCTGAATTCCTCTGCATGAAGAAGCAGCCATTTAGTAACAGCACTGAGCATCACTCTCTGCTCTGCCTGGGAGAGCAGGGTCTCACACTTTTTCTCACTTACCCTGAGGAAAGCACAGCAGAGGATGAAACCTGACTTGCACAGAACTATTTCCAACCTGCTCAGCTGTAAGGCAAGGAACTTTCACTCCTCTGATGTTCCATTTATGTTGCAACCTGCACTGCATTTGAAATGTAGTAAAATTTCAGCACTTTACTCCAGGTTGTGAACAGCAACATAGTAATGCAAATAATTTAATTTCATATCAACACAGTGGAATATTAAATACAGTGATTTAGGAGCCAGCTCACCCTTTTTGTCTGTTGGAGGAGGAGAAGGTGGAAGGAGGAGAGGAAAGGAATATAATCACTTTTTACACATGAACACTTCTTCCCAAGCCACAAGACTTTCCTGGACTTGAAATTGGTCTTGGACTGACCCCAAGAAATGTAAATTTACTTTTCAAGTGGCACAAAACCTTAATGAACATTTTTTTTGTTTAACTTAAACCAATTTTTAAGCAACATCCAATAAAAATGATCCATGTGGCATTCAGATCCCATTACAGCAACTGGAAAGACCTTTGTACCAGTGCAATTACTTTGACTTAAACTGGGTCTTCGGATTAACCCCTTCAGCCCCAGACACTGCCGAGCCTCTGCTGCAACAGGAAAGGCTAAATGAAGCTGGAGAGCTGGAATGGCAACTTTCCTACAATTGTTCATGGTGTTTACCTGTGTTCATTGATGTTTCTTGCCTTCTTTCCTTGCATTTGAGGGTTTGCTTCAGATTACTTAGGAAGATCAGACTGGAAGCAGCTGCAACCAAACCAGAAAATGCACTTGCTCTAACAGACCTAGAGCCTCCTTCATTTTTCTATTTGTTTGTGGCTTTTGTTTGTTTAGAGTAAGAGACTCCTGCATCTGTGGTGCCAATTTGCCTTTTGTGAAAATACAAAATTTCTTATACAGCAGAAGAAATGTCTGTCATTATTCACAGGGCAGGACACAGCCAGCAAACAGGGAACATTCTTAAAAGTGCTCAGCAGGAAAATGTTTTGTGGGCTGGTGCTCTTTCCTTTCCAAAAGCTGGTTATTAGACTGTAGAGCTTTTTGTGCAAAAAGCACAAAATTCAGTCTGTGTTCACTGAGATGGGCTGGAGAGACAGTTTGTTCAAAGGACCCACCTTCCTCTGCATGCCCAAAAGTTTCCAAAGGGTTTTTATTTCTTGCTGTTTCCTAACCTGTATCAGATTTGACTCTGTAGGTTGAGTCTCTTTATTGCAGAAAAACTTCTGAAAACTAGGAGGCTACTTTCAGTAGTAGTTTACCACTTTTCTTTGGATTCAAATTTTTGCTGGTCAGCCTTTTGACTAAAGGATTAGCTATTTATTAGAAACATTAGTCCAATTTTTAACTTGCTTTCTTAGGGATATCTGGCTTATTTGGTGTTCCTGATCTTTCTGCATCCCCATAACAAGAAATGTTTACAAAGCATCAGGATTTCATGAATATCAGTGAGGTCATGGAAAGTAATCCATGATAGCACCTTCTGTGAAGGCAGTGAGGATGAGGGGCAGCTGTTTGCAGCCTCTGGAAGCAGATGTTTAATTGCCCCAAAGTAGCCACAGCCAGTTGTCCAAATAAACAAGCAGGGGGAAAAATATGGGAAAGAAGAAAACCCCAAATAGTGCAGTCTGGCCTAAACAAGAACACAGAAATGAGTTCATTAATGTATTTCCACAGAAAACCAGAGCTGCTGACTGTACAAGTCAGCAGATAAGATTGTTCCTTGAAAAAAAATCTAAATATAGGATCTGCTATATTTTAACCTACAGCTGCACCTTAATACAATAGCTGGAATTAGACTTGTTTTCTTATAAATACAGGTAAGGATTTCCTCTGGCACAGGACTAAACTTTGCTCACCTACAATCAGCAAAGTCAAAACCAAATCTGAGTTTTATTTAAAGAAACTTGTGTTCTAATTTTTTCAATGCAAATTAAGAACATAGAACACTATGGCAACCAAGCACCCTTGCTACAGACATTTGCCATTTTTATGAGATATTCCTAAAGGCAAAAACACTGCAAGCCTGAGCAATACCATTTCTTTCCTCAGATCATATCAGAGAGTAGCATTTCTACTATTTTTTCCTTTAATTATATATCACTTCAGTTCATCAGCGTAGTCAAGCAGTGCAAAGCAGACTCTGAATCTCAATTCAAGTTGATATTCAGCCCTGTCAAGTACCTTCAATATGGTATTCCTTCTAGTGTTTATAGCACGTGGAGTGAAAGGGACATCTCCTGCAGGACTGCTAATTGTTTCACCTTCATTTACCATGGCTCCTAAGTCACTTCAGCTTATGCATATGAATTTATGAAATTACTGCATGAACATGTGAGCAATAAGTTACAGCTTTCAGCTGAAGAGAAGCATTTAACCATGGTGGGAGCACAGAAACTCAGAGCAGTCAGGTTCGTTTTCAGGCTGCTGTGTGAGGCTTTAGCAGTTTTGTAAATGGTACAAAAGCCAAAAATTGGTAGGGCAGAAGGAAGAATCATTGAACATCCTGAGTTGGAAGGGATCCACAAGCGTGATCGAGTCCAGCTCCCGTCCCTGCCCAGCCACCCCAGCAAGCCCAGCCTGTGCATCCCTGGAGCTGTGGCAGCCTCGGGGCCGGGACCATTCCCTGGGGAGATCCCAAAGCTGCTGCTGGTGTACCTGAGCGCTGGATAGAGCAGAGAGATGCAGGTAAGGGCTGCTGTGGCTGTCCTCTTTCAGTTCAGATCTGTCAGGCAGATAAAATAATTACGTCAAATTTAAGGTGTTTGCACGTGCTAAAATGTTGCTCCTATTTTTTTTTTTAAGATGACCTATTTTTTTTTATATGCCCGTCCATGCAACATGAAACTGTTTCTTTTTTTTAAATAAAAACAGGAAACAAGTGAAAGCTCAGAGTCATTGAAGATGATCGGCATCTTTCCACATGAGATAACCTGGGAACATGCTTATCTCATCTAGGATACCTGCAGCACATTATTCAACTAAAAGTTCTTCAGTACAAGAAGCCAGGCAAATTAAACAATGCACTGATAATATCAAAGCCTCCTAAAACTTGCGAGCCTCTGTTTTTTGCAAAAATGATTGTTAGAGGTTTTAAAGCAGGGATATTTAGTAACCACTGCGTTAACAGCAGTAACTACTGATTAACCCCCATGCACTTTGCGCCCATTCCTTCCCTCGTTACCGAGCTTAGAACCGATCGGTGGAAATGTTAACCGAGACAAGCAGTCATATGAAACCAAAAAACCGAGGAGTCAGCAAAACAAACCCTTTTGTTCTTCATAATTTATACGGCGAGTTAATAACGAAAGAGCTTTGTGATTTTGAGCCTCACCAGCCGGTGTCCTCAGCGCTGAAGGGTGTGGAATCGTACTGGAAGAAAACCCGAAAAGCCGAGGGGTCCTCCCTCAAGGAGACAGCGTGGTTTTGAATGTTAGTAATGAGGAAGGAATCCGTGCTGGTGCTTTTTCGTCCTAACACGTGTCACTCGCTGCCTTTCTGCTCACGTTATTGTGCTGCCCAGGGTCCCAGGGGCGCCGGGCGCGCCGCGGGGCCGGGGAGCGAGGGGGGCCGGGGAGTGAAGGGGGCTGGGGAGCGAGGTGGTGCCGGAGCGGCCCCTCAGCCCGGGCGGTGCCGGGGAGCGGGGCGGGAAG